CCAGTCATTAGAGGACAAAAGCATTCCTTCCTAAATCTATTTTATCAACCTAAAGCCTATTGTTAGTCTCAGCTAGAGTAGAGCTATTGAATCAATTAGATTTAACTATGTGTTGATTCACCATGCAACAATGGATCCCATACCATTACTCTGGTGGGGACACACCAACTGGATCCCAACCATAGTTTTGGGTCAACTTTGTAATACTGAAACAAATGACCTATATAGTAGGTTAATACTCCTGAACAGTGAAGAAGGAGTCAAAGAGCAGAGAAAAAGGGGAGATCCTTATCCATCTCCCCCCATATGTGTACTATTGTTTACTTTAACAGGAAAAAAGTGATTGTGACCCTAAGAAAAATCTACATCAAACATTTGTGAAAGCTTTTCTCCACAACTCCTACTTCATTATTCTTAACCATTCTTTCCACCCTGTCTGAAATATTCAGTAGTCAAATATGCACATTATCTTAACCCATATTATCCTAAATCTTTGGTCTACTTATCTCTTGAGCAGTTTCTACCAAGTTGAAAGGAGTAATCACCTATATTAGAGATGGTCTCAGCGGGGCTGTAAAAGTCAAATTGGAAACAAGAACACAGCTCATCCTATCAGCCTTGAGGTAATTTGGTTTAATCACAAAAGGAAAAGCTGTCTAAACTTGGAATGATTTCCAGCCCACCAGTGGTGAAGGGGACCTATTCCCTCAGGGTAAGTAGAAGCAAATGGAGAATGCTGAGTGAGGCTCTGTGCCAAAACAAACTTTCTAACATCTACTGCAGAAAAGGCCCTTTGCAAATGCACCCAACTAAATATCCAATATTTCATAGGCATGCAATACACTGACAGATAGGAATATCAGTGGAGAGTTGTAATTTCACTTAGGATATAATGGTTGCTACGGCTCCTAATGCAGCTTGGCCCAATCCAACAATAGCTATGTTGTTGAGACTCATGTTTGCACATTATGCTTATGTAAATTTCCCTGTGGTCATGGTTGGGCATTTTTGTCTAATGCAAAACATCCATATTAAATTTAAAAAATGTTTTAGCTTTGTTAGAGGTAGAAACTTTTACTATTTAAGTTTTCTGCCCCCAACAAAGGTAAATTTTTTTTTAAAAATGGGACTACATTTGACATGCTTTACCAAGACAGTGCCTAAAATTGTCTTAATGCAAAAGCATAGAGGTTTATATTGAGCAATTCAATGTTCTCTGCCTGGGCTGTGACCTGATAAGAAATTAACACATCTTGGATCTGAGGAAGCACCTTTTTTATTGCTAATGGAATTCAAATTTATCTCCTGGACTCTGGAATACTTTGTTCCCAATGTCACATGGCCAGACAAAGGAGGGACCTAGCTGCATAGATATTCCTCAACACCATCTCAACACACAACAACACAACAACAATAGCTTGATAAAATGCAGGCCTGTGACAAACATCATCATAGGTTTCCCCCATACACACTTTTGTATGATTTTTAACACCTGATGGAGAAGCCAGTGGAGTTTTGAAAGCTTGCAATATATCAGAGCTTATCACAGTCACAATTAAAACATCTTACCTGAGCTGACTTAAAATTTAAACTTGGCAGCATCCTGATCTTATCACAAGGATTTAGCTGCCAAATTTGCCACCTGGGTCCATCCTGGGTCCAGCCCCACTCCCAGGGGTGCTCTGGCAGCCATTTTCTTAAGCTGGAAAACTCCCAGCTTCAAAAGAGGCACACTGAGCACCCTTGTGAGTAGGGATGGACCCAGGTTGGACCCTGTTAGGTGGTTATGCAGCGCGTGATGATCCATGTCAACATACAGCACCAGTATCACCACCTCTCAGATGCAGGCAGTAGTTTGTGAGCTGAAGGAGCACCTCTCTCCTTCCAGAAAGAGTAAAAAGACTCTACAGACAGATGTCTCTCAGATGAGGCT